TTCTCCAGGCGGTGAGAAGGGTTGGGACAGAAATTTGGCAACACCAGTTCCTGAGATCGATGAAAACCTGTATTAACCTTGGGGATAAATGTTGGGTCCAATCTGAGGACTACCCTGTCCTCATGGAACATACAGAGATCCTTCCTGACAGATAGGGCGGCCAGCTCAGAAATTCTCCTGGCCGATGTAATGGCCACCAAAAAAGCAACCTTCAAGGTAAGGAAATGTAAGGAACATGAACCTAAAGGTTCAAATGGAGAAGAGGTTAACGCCCGTAGCACAAAAGGTAAATCCCAGGACGGGTAACGGTGAGTCGTAGGAGGACCCGTATTTGCAGCACCCTTCAGGAAGGCACCAATCGCTGGATGGTGAGCGAGGGATTCCTGATTCTCACAAGAGAGGACAGTTGACAATGCCGCAACCTGTCTACGCAAGGTGCTCACCGACAACCCTCTATTAAGACCCTCCAGTAAATATTCCAATATGTTCGGAATAGTAACGGAAAGGGGAGAGAGATCCCTTGAGTTGCACCAAGAGCAGAAATTTCTCCAGGTGACATCATAAATCCTGTTAGTTGAAGGCCTTCTAGAAGCCTGGATTACAGATATTACCCCCGAGGAATATGATAAACTAGCTAGACCCTCCTGCTCAAGTGCCAGGCGGCTAGTTGGACCCACTGAGGGTCCGGGTGTTTGAGATTCCCCTGACTTAGGGCTACTCGGTCCGGAGGGATTCTCCACGGAGGAGAGAGCGAGAGATCCACCAGATCCGCAAACCACGGCCGACGTGGCCAGAATGGGGCAATCAGTATTACCTCCGCTTGTTCCTGTAGGAGCTTGCGAATGGTCGCTGGGAGCAGTGGGAGAGGAGGAAAGGCATAGAGTACGCCCCTGGGCCAGGGACTCCGAAGGGCATCTGTCCCTTCCGCCCCTTCCGATCTGAACCTGGAAAAGAACCTTGGGATCTGCGCGTTTGCCGGGGAAGCAAAGAGGTCTAGGACTGGCTGCCCGAACCTGAGGGCTGCCTCCCTGAACAGGAATGGATCTAGCTTCCATTCTGAATGGTCTATGGTGGCCCTGCTCAGGGAGTCCGCTTGTAGATTGTCCACCCCCGAGATGTGATCCGCTTGGATGGATTTCAGATTGGTTTCCGCCCAGAGACCCAATGCCATGGCCTCCTGCATGAGGGACCAAGAGTGGGTCCCTCCCTATTTGTTTATGTGCGCCTTGGCCGTAATGTTGTCCGTCAGGACCAGTATGTGTCTCCCTTTTACCAGGGGAGAGAATTCCCGAAGAGCCAGGTGTACTGCTCTCAGCTCTAACCAATTTATGTTGTGGGTCAGATCTGACCGTGACCACCGACCCTGGGCGAGGTGATTGTGGATATGAGCCCCCCAGCCGAATAGGCTGGCGTCTGCTAAGCTTGACTAAGACAAAAAACTGGGGAAGACACACCCAGAGAGAGGCGTGGCAAGAGTTTTTTTCTTGTCTTAGTCTGCTAGGCAGGATTGCATAATTAACCCATCCTGTGGACTCTACACCACCATCTGCTGGAGAAACACCCCATCCCTCCCAAGATATTTTATAAATGCAAGCACCTTAAAAGGCAATATAGCTGCAAAACAGTTAACTGAAAAACAAAGCAAGCATTGCAGGCAAGATTTCCCCAAAAAATAAAAATCTTATGCTAAACAAAAAAAGTGATATGCATTATAACAACTATATTTGAAGAAAAACATTTTATAAAAGTAGGATAAGGTGGGAAGAAAATTAAAAAAAAAATACCCACTCATTTGCTAATTGAACAGAAACTTGCAATTCTTGCCTCCAGAAACAAGGAAAATGTTAAAGATGCAGGGGAAAGCCAATCTGATCTAGCGCAGGAGTCTTCAAACTTGGCCCTTTTATGACTTGTGGACTTCAATTCCCAGAATTCCTCAGCCAGACATGCTGGCTGAGGAATTCTGGGAGTTGAAGTCCACAAGTCATAAAAGGGCCAAGTTTGAAGACCCCTGATCTAGTGGTTAAGGGACAAGGTTAGAAACCAAGAACCAGACTGTGAATTCTAGTCCTGTTTCAAACATGAAAGTCGGCTGGGTAAGTTCTGGCCACTTACACTCTCTCTCTCCCAATCCACTTCACAGGGTTGTTGTTATGGGAAAAATAGGAGGAGGAAGGAGTATTAGCTACAGTATATTTGTTGCCTTGAGTGATTTATAAAAATAATAAAGGTGGGATTAAAAAAAATGTAAAAAACCCCAACTGAAATATAGAAACTGCATAACATGCACTGTGTAACCCACACAATCACGCAAGCTATAGAAACAACAGCCAAAGTCTGCCGATGTGACAAGAATTGCAGCACAGCCTCGCACAACAGTTTGCCTGAGTGACTAGCAGCCAAATAGCAATGCAATGTAATTCAACACAATGCAACACAATGTTTTCTACGCTTTTGCTATAGAGCTGCCTGAAGCTAGCCAGAAGGATGCCATCTCAGTGGGAGATACATTCTAAATTGTGAGCAGAATTGATATAGCCAAAACAACTGCGGGAACAACAACAACAAAAAGCTAGCTTCCAGAAAGCAGGGCTCCTGCAGCAGTTTTCACCTTCAGATAGCAGTCTAGATTCTGGATTGTCGTTCTGAAAAGCCTGCATTTAAATCATATACTAACTGTTTTTTCATCTCTAACATCAGGGGAAAAAAAATCCCATAAACTGGTGTTTCGTATTTTCTGACAAAAGCCAGACGGTTTTTCATCCCACTTTTAAAGAAAATGTGTTTATTAAATTGAACAGGAGTGTTAGTAAAAAGCAGGGGTGAAATAAAGGGTTTGTTATAAAAATGGTTTAGCCTCCGAAGCCCACCATACCGTGGGGGGAGGTGATCCTCTTCCAATCAGGGGGACGTTTTCATACCGTGGATTCCCACCAAAGAGCACAGCTTGGTTCCTGCAGGTAAAGAGGAGTGAGATCAGGAGGACAATCTATTAAAAGGAAATCTGTTATGGGCTAAGAAATATTCCTGACATTCTCGCAGAAGCAGGGGATCCTTGTTGAAGGCAAACATTTGTGGGAGTGGGGGGGAAAATGGGAGTGTGGATACGCAGGCCGTTATTTACGTTCGTGTCTGTGTCGGAAGCACCTATGGTGCTTCCATGTTGAAACGATCAGCCAGTGACATCACTGTTGCCTGGGGAACATCCAATTGGGGGTTCTTTTATGTCCCCATTAATGTGTCCTGCAAATTGGTAGATAGCTATCTACTTGTGATTATATGCTTTCGAACTGCTAGGTCGGCAAGAGCTGGAGCGAATGACGGGAGCTCATCCCGTCACGCAGCAGCACTTGGGTCTCGAGCCATTTATTCATTTTGCACCTTGCAGCACCGTGAAGATGGCTTAGAGGGGGAATCAGCAAGCATTCATCAATTCCCTGATCAATCCTTTTTGCCTTGGTACTCTCCAGATGCATTAGTTCGGAACGTCCATCATCTCCTGTTAAATACTCAGAGAGGCAGCTGGCTGAGGAAAATACGAATTTTATTCCCAATGCATCTGAAGAATGCCTGATTGGGGGAAGCTACACCAGCCTTCATTAGCTGTCTCCTTGATCTGTGAAATATGGTGGGGAAGGAATTCATTCTGGAACGAACTCCTCTACATTCACCGAGCGAAGAACTGAGCCTTGAGAATAACAGCAAAGGACATGTGTACCCTTTTTCTTTTATGTGCAATGGGTGTGAGAGGATGGGCATCCAGCAAAAGTCACTCAGGGACAGGCAAGAGGAACAGTAGTTAACATTCTGTCCATCTCAACCCTAGCAATGCTCCAACTTTATTTTACAATACCCTCCAAAAAAGAAGGGTGATGGGAGAATGTGGTGACGGCTGGTTGCTTATCAATTCAAGGTTTAATGCAGCCTTTCCTAAATGTTCTTTAGACACGTGGGCCTCCATTCCCATTATTCTCAGATGGCAAGGACTTTGGACAGGTAACCAAGTTGACTAGGTGAAAGGCTGACAACTCAGCAGTTGCACTGATCTGTGGAACCGCAGATGGGTGTGAACATAGTGCTGGATATTCATGGGGCTATGTTTCCAGGGGAGGACCAACTTTTCTGCAAGTCTTCTTTATGTGGCAAAATTTATATGCCTGTAAAAATCTCTTGATACTCTGCTCAGGTAGTTTTTAGGTAGCATTGTTTCCTTATGAGGATTTACTATAACGTATCTGAAAGAACAGTTCTGAGTAAGCCTCCATTTTTAACCAGTATCTGGAATCAGCAACTAGGGTATGCTTCTGAGGTCACAATTAGGAAAAAAAATCATTCAGCAAAGAAATCACACAATCTCTCTGTCTTCCTACCTAAATTGGAGTCATAAAAGTGGGCAGCACAATACTCCCTTCCTCAACTCTATGACTGGGCAGAAAAGAGACAACTTGTTTGATTGCTCCTTAGCAGAAGCACTTTTCATTTCTAAAATTTTGCAGCAAACGGTTCAGAGAGCTGAAGGGGGGGGGGAAGACCAGATGGTTTCCACTAGTTATGAAAACAGAAATGGGAAATCTACTTCCTGCCATTTTGGATGGACTTTCTCCTCCAACGGACCTTTTCCATTGTTAAACCTTGCTTAAATTCAGTAGGCAATTCAAGGTTAACACCATCTCCCTGAAGGAAACACTAACAACTTATGAGGGTACTGGAGATATGGGTTCAACAGCTGCCTGAAATCCAAAGTAGGAATAAGTTGTACACAATACACATCTGCATAGTCACAGATGGAATATGATACCATCTCCAGAACTTCTCCACTATGCTCTTTTCTGGTGGGCGCTGAATCTTTTCAATGGCTAGAGAATCTGTATGGGAGCTAAAAAGTTACTAGATTTTCACACAAATCTTGGCAGTAGCCATGTATATCTTCTCATGCACAGATGAAAAATAAAGACTCACTCGAGTCAAAATAAATTCTTAATGAATTTATGTACATATTTTGCTTGATCAAAATATGGAAATGATTGTCGCTGTCTTTAAGATTTAATTTCTAGCCTAGCCTGCAGCCTTCAGATTTCTTAATAATCTCCCATCCAAGGCCTAAGCAGCTCTGAGAATGCTTAACTTTTTTGACATCAAACATTCCCCTGATTTTTATTTTTATTGCTATCCATTATTACCTTCCAAGCCAAGCCAAGTCATAGACAGGAGCAAAGAGGAAGTACCATGTACACTTGTAGATGAGCTGAGAATTTTGGGTTACAAAATACACCCCCAGAATTGGGTTCAGCTTATCTGCAGATCAGCCTGTCATGGCCTTAAAATCATAGTTTTATAAATGCTGACATAACAATTTCAATTTTCTGTCCACTGCTGTGATTAAAAATTCAAGGATTAACTTATCCATGGGTGACGATGGATACCATTTTTCATGGTATTTGGTTGAAATTTCAAGGGTGTTGGCTTATCTGCAATTATAAACAATAAATGGGCAAGACTTCCTCCATCAAAAGGCAGCACATTTTCCAACCAATCGACCAATAAATATATTTAAACAAAGATCTTTCCATAAAAGGGCATGCAACTGTACATGACAACTCAACAAAAACCTCCCCCATGTTAAATTAAAGTATCACACCATAGCAACTAACAAATAATAAAAGATGCAAAAAGTAGGACAACAGCTTGTTTCACACATCTTCTCTAGGGATATTTTAAGAGCTGCATCTAGACTTTATTTTTAAAAACGTTTTCTCCCACATACAGTTCAAAAGTATGGTTTCTCAGGTTTTTCATCTTTAAGGCTGTCTTCTTTCAATAAGAAGGCAATTGTTAGAGTTTGAAGACCTAGCAGCTGTACAAAGCTGGATTTTGCGTTTTCTGGCTGGGATATCAAGATTACGGAGGACATGGGTTGACAGCTATTAGACTGGTAAAATGCGGAAATATAATGGTTTTCAGAGAAAGATGGAATGATGGAAGCAAAGGCAAAAAGCAGCACAAACCTGAGCAGGGCCAGATGGTACCAGAGTATAGTAAGTTAAGGTGGAGAACATCAAATAGCAGAAGCTATCTCTGTTGCCACCTTGAAAACCTCAAAGGAGAGGATATGGGCCAATTATTAATATTTGCCTTTTAATTAAGTTTTAATCTGTAGTTTTGATATTTTGTATTTTTATCTGGTTGTTAGCCGCCCTGAGTCCGCAAGGAGAAGGGTGGGATATAAATATAAATAATAAATAAATAAATAAATAAACTGCTGCCTCTTCTACTAATTTCATGCATACTTACATATACTCAGACACTGGTGCATTGGAGATGGTCTGGGCAGGAGGCTGAAGGCTTGTCTGACTGCCCAGGCTGCTACTGTAGCTACAGAAACTACGGAGTTGCCCACGATTGGGATTGTGGGCAGCAATACGTCGAGCCTGTGGGTTGAAGGGGTCCTCTTCATCTATGTCATCGTAATCCCGATCTCTAGAAGGAAAAAAACAACCCGGTCCATCTTAGAAACGAAAGCAAAATCTGAAAGCATGGAATGGTTGTGGATGAAGTGGCAAATGAGAAGATGTAACACTCATTCCTGGAAGGATTGTGTATTTCAATTGCTTAAGCTTTCCCTTAATTTTAGGGTTTCTCTTGTAATGTTAGCAGAGACCAGGAAAGAAACCATAGTATCTTAAAAAAGAGACCCTTTTTTAGTTTGTTCCATTGCTGAAAACCCAACCCTACGGGACAGTTCACATATTAATCAAGAGACAGGAAAAACAACAACCACAAAAAAAAAACAAAAAACCCAGAAAGAACTAATTGTGCTGCCTTCACCACTTTTAGATAATGGAAGAAGAATGAACTTACAGAAGTTGTCCAAAAATTGATGTTTTGACCATCAGGAATTTATTATTTATTAAATTTATATGCCACCCATCTCACTCTTGGGAACTTAAACCTGAGTAATGCGAGAGAATGCCTATATGTGATGCTAGATAATAGGGAGGGTATTATTTTGTTGCATTTTTCTCTCTCTTACATGAATTGTCTGACTCTCTTCTCCTCTTGCTGCTCTTTCCACCCTCCCTCAGCAAATTAAGGGTCGAATATGAGAAACCCAGAAAGACAGGAGAGGTTACTATTCAACAACCGATGCATGCATTCTGTTAAGTGACATTTAAGTGGCCATAATATTACTAAATAACCTTATGCTATGCTATTTAGTCTATATCTCCTACTGCAGTCTCTGGAATGCTTCTGTAAGTTCTTCAACATGCATAGCTCTTAACGAGGACAGGACAATAGGAAGATCAGCTCACCACTCTGCAATTTTATTGAAGGAGGGATCAGACTGATGTTCTAGTTGTTGTAGAAAAATCACCCATTTTTTATTTTATTCATCCCTTTTTCAAAATGTCCCTCTATCGTTGACAAGGTTATTTTGACTCTGTGGTATCCCTGGGAAACTTATTCCGTTTTACCTGCTAGCTAAATGTTTCCAGGCTCGAGGCATGGCACATATGATGATGGAGAAGGATACAGCAGCCATCAGAGAGAAGAGGGTGAGGTAGAGCAAGCCTTCCACCCCATCGTAGCAGATCCCAACCAAGGCATCCAGGTAATCCTTTCGTGAAAGGAAGGAGAGAAAATAAGAAAAGAAGCATCTTGCTAATGTGTTACCAACACTTTTGTCCCCAAAGCACAGTGTGCCTTATGCTGCTTACCTTGTGAAGGCCCCTGCAGTCCAGCATGGCAGTCAGCTGGTGGAGATTGATTTCAGAGTAGTTCAATAACTTCTGTATATCAAGCAGGTCTTTCTGCAGCAAGGGCAAAAGCCATCAGAGAAGGAGCATATATTCTATTGGAAAAGGAACAGTGTTCACCATATCCAGAATGAATGTCCAGCAATCACTGTGAATAGATACCTACTGTATTGCTGTCGTAGTCTATCCTTCCCGGCTGGCATACACAGTACCGCCTCTCTGATTTTATCTTGCGATATCAAATTGGGCTGAGAGATGGTGAATGGCCCAGTGACTTTTTGGCCTGACTGCAAATTGGAACTGTTGCCCTTCTGATCTTAACAATTATTACCCAACATTGGTTTTACAGAAACAGGGATAACATTAGAGCTATAGTGGTTTTACAAAGCCTCATGAAAAAGAAAAGGGCTCCTTCCCTTGGTACTTCTATTTGTTATTACCAGGGATTCTCTCTCATTTGATTAAACATTAAAATAAAGGAAAACAGAACTACCTTATTGTTCACCTATGGGCAATAGATATACACAGAAAGTCATCTCACTTATGCATGGAGGCATCGCTTGATTTCAGATACTGTTGCTAAAGTTCCATATGGAAGCTCAAAGGGATGCATGTCCAAGCCCATGGAGCTGGCAAAACTGAGGAAGCAAGGACAATCTAATTTTCAGAAAGGTATTTGTAATGTTAGTCTGAGATAGTTTTTTTTTTAAAAAAAAAACCTGTCAGGCACAGTTATAATAAGTTATTACTTTGGCGTCCCTTTGAAACACTTTCTTCTCACAACTTTCGCATCTGGACCATGTAGCCTCTTCTCAGATTAAACCAATGGCTTCATCCCTTGCTCACAATCTCTCACAATGCCCTAGGACATCTTTCTCAGATGCCTGAGGAGCCCATGGGGACAGACCCACCTACCCTCTGAAGCCAATATCACACTACATTTCACGTGGCAGACAAAATGTGACCATGCAGATGTTGTTGAACTCCAACTGTCATAAGCCTTTTTTATGGTTTGCAGGTAGCTCACCCATGTTATAGAGAACACTGAATGACATTTCCTGTCAAAACGTTTGTTAGGCAACTAGCTTTTTTATCTAGCTCAAGAAGACTTTGAAATTTCATCTACATCTGACATATACAAATAGAGTTCCCAATTGCTTAATCTTTCCTGTTCATATAAAATTTCACTCCATCTGTTAAAATGGCTTCCAGTCACTACAGTACTTTGCCCAATTCTCTGGATGTGTCGGGACCAAAGCTCATAGAATTACCGTCTGGAGACACCAAGTCAGTGACGACTATGAATTACAGGGGATCCTAGACTTGTTCCTCTGCTACTGTATAGCCATGGCACCTGTGTCCTGCCAACCATAAACCATGGTGTTTTTTTCCTGCTGTTTGTCTTCCAGTAGCTCATAAGAATATTCAACACGTCCCTGGTCAAATAAGTGCCTATATTTTCATATTTTGTCTTCGTCAAATATTGTTTCTGAAAACAGCAAGTGTGACCCACTTCTAAATGTACGTAACCCAGAAGCTTCCATCAAAGAGCCATGTCTGCTTCCATAGGAAAAGACAACACTATGCAACTTACTTTGGCTGTTGGGAAAAAAGGCACTGCAAACTGCACAAGACCCTGAATCTGGATCTGCATAGTTGTGAGAGAACGCTGGTAAATAGTCAGGGCCTACAAATAAAGAACACATCATGCAAGGTATCAGCCATTTTTTTCTACATAAATCTTAACTTGCAGTACAGGTAATCCTTGACTTACAATTCCAATTGAGCCCAACATTTCCATTGCTAAGTGAGACAATTGTTACGTGAATTTTGCCTCATTTTACATTTTTTCTTGCTATTAAGTGGATCACTGCAGCTGTTAAATTAGTAACATTGCTTAAAGTGAACCTGGCTTCCCCAATGACTTTGCTTGTCAAAAGGTTGCAAAAGGTGATCACATGACCCTGGGAGCTTGCAACCATCAATAAATACATGCCAGAGTCTGAATTTTGATCATTTGACCACAGGATTCTGCAATGGTCGTTAAGTGTGAAAAACCGTCATAAGTCACTTTTTTCATTGCTGTTGTAACTTCGAACAGTCACTAAATGAATAGTTATAAGTCAAGGACTTCCTGTAAACAAATTAAATACTATCCCCTTTCAACATCTAAGAGTCAGATTGTTGGGGGCAATAAGCAAATAATGCTTCTAGATTGTAAACAGCCCAGAGAGTGCTGTAAAATACTACGGTATATAAGCCTAAATACTATTGTTATTGGAGAGTAAACCTCACCAATTTCCCTGTCACTGAAAGCAATAACAAGCCAGCTTTCTCTTTTCACAGCTATTGGGTGATCCTTTGCCAACAAATGCAAGCAAGTTCTTACCTGTTGAAAGGGGTTGGTCAGACTTTGTCTACAATACAGATAGTATTGTACGATTTCTACAAAAGCAAAGTGCAAAGGGAAGAGAGTCATTGGTTAAAGTAAGACACATTTAGCAGCTTCTAAACCACACTAGGATAGCACTGCTCAGCACATAGTACCAGACAGCACAGCACTATATAGATCGTCTCAGTTTACAAGACTGGCATTGTGTAATATATGCTAATAGAAACAATGCTGCAGAAAAAAAATTGTGTCTAAAGGTTTTGCCAGACTTTTGACATGAGCAGAATGAGTGGCAACATTCACGCATATCTATTTTCATGTGCTGCATAAAACACAGCCTGCCATGAATTAATTTGCAGAAACTTCTGCTTTTATTGATGATCAAGCTATATCTTATACCATGTCTCATAAATGCTGCCTATTAGCATAAAAGCAACAGCCAAGGATAACTAATAAATGATTGGTTCACCAACTCTCTATCCTTATTTAGCCCTTACTCACTTGTTGATTCTTCCAAACCAATGTCCCCTCCTAATCTGAAATTCTGCTTTAGTACGTTAAGAGACACAGCAAATGCCAAGGATAATTAGCAAATGGTCACGTCACATAATCTTCTATCCCTACTAAACTTACTTAACCTTTCCTCTCCTGCCGATCCTTCAAAACAAGTTCGAACAACCCCTAAGCTATGGTTCTACCTTAATAAAAGGAAATAAAATGAAATCTGAGTCCCTAGCTTATGAGAAAAATCTCAGAACTTTGGCAAATATTAACAAAGGGGAGATTTTGGCACAGGTTCTATAGCCAGGAGTATTCTCTTATTGCCTCTGTTCACTCGATATGTTAAACTTGTTTGGGAAAGATAATTTAATAAAGAAGCAGAGTGGAGTAGTTTTTGCCTCAAACAGCTATGGGACCCTTGTGGGGTAAATTAACTCTGATTGGCCAGTATTCTCATAAGATGCCAGTTAATAGACTGTTAAGGTTAAACCAGAAGACCTCCAAGGTCCCTTCTAACTTTTTGATTCTATGATCTTTCCATGCTACCAAATCAGAAGTTTAGAAGGGCCCAACAAAAGACGCCTCTCTAGGATCTACTTGTGTGCTCCTTATTTTTTTTTTAACCCTTCTATACACAGTCACAAAGTAGTTTGGAAAAGCACAATCAGGATTCTGAGCACTTTCCACATAAATATTCACATTATCCCTCTGTACAAGTGTGCTACCTTAAATCTCTAGATTTTGTATACTGATCTTTATCTATGCAGGGCTGGGTCTGAAGCTTACATCAGTCTTATTTCTCTTCATTCAATTTTCACTTAAGGGTTTGTCCTCCTCAAATGATGGCAAAAGCAATATTTTTACCTGCACTGAGGTCACTTTTTGTCATATTCACAATGAATTCATCTGGGGACACGCAAAAGTCACTGGTACCCTGTAAGAAGCAAAAAATTATTTATTTATTTATTTATTTTGTGTACTTTTTATTACAGGTTTTTTTTAAAGAAGATAAAATTAATGTTTTTAAAAAGGAAGTTGTTATCATTACTAGAAGTTATACTTAAGGAGGTTAATGCTGGAGGCTTAAGAAATCGTTTCTACATATTCTATCATTGGCAAGTGAATCGATATACACAGGCAGAAAGTGCATATGAATTTAAGATATTAAGGCTTACTATGAATATACATTTGTTTTAAATTTTATTTTTCCACTTTGAATATGTACACCAATTATATCAGTATGAAAACAATGCACAAAAAAATCAAGAAGAGCTGTTCATAAAAGTAGACTTCTCAAGATAACAAGGAAACCAGAGCACTAAGGAGGCTGTAATAATAGATGGAATTTACTTTCTGATACTCCGATCTGACAAAAAATTAGACTAACCAAAGTTTGTAAATAGCGGAAAGCAAATTGTTTAATTCCTTCTGGCTCCCCTTGAAATCTTGGCAAAAATGCCACTCCCTTACAAGTAGAGCATTTTATGAGATTGGCCATGCTGAAGGTACATGGCAAATTAATTTTCCTCTGCCTGACGCAAAGCAGTCAGGCTAACAAGCAAAACACCTTCAAGGTGACTTCTGCTCATTTTAAATAACCAGTCTCCTTGTTGTTCAAAATTCCTCCTGCTAAGTGTGTGTTGTGTTATGAGAAGGTAGGATTCTGGAAACACAAAGACAGGAAAGACTGCAGGAAGCAAGGCAAGGAGGAGCAAAACACACCTCCCCAAGTGAACAGGCCTTTAGCTGTCAGAAAGTTGGAAAGAAGAGTTGGGCAGTCTCCGGTGGGTCAGTGAGACTGGGACCCAGGGAATCACAGTAAACTTAGTGCACCAAGCCCTTAAAACAACCGCAGCTCGACACTGAAGAGAAAGAAAGCTTGAGTTCAAATGTTGGGCTTACCACTGCTGCTGAAACATCTGCTGCAAAGGAAGCCCAGCTGAGACAAAGTGTGAAAAGTCCACAGCACAGCATCCTATGTGGCAAAAAATAAACAACCAAGAGTCAAAAGGGGGATTCAGAAAGGTAACAGCATCAGTGACACCTGTGCACCATCAGTCTGAGTGCTGTAACAGGATAGAGGCTTACATTGTTATTGTTCTTGCTCCTATAACATCTTCTAGGGCAAGTCTTGATTATGCCTATTACAGAGGTGCAGAACACAGCCAGATGCATCAGGGAAGGGGGGGGGATATTGCCTATAAACCAAATGGGGCAGGTGGGAACTAAATTTAATCACCTGGAATCCAGTTCCAATTAATCTGTCTGCACAAACTGATAAAAAGTATGATTGTCCTGGATATTTTGATCCAGATTACAGCTTACAATCTTACTAAAATCTCTGTCTCTCTCTCTCTCTCTCTCTCTCTCTCTGTCTCTCTCTCTCTCTCTCTCACACACACACACACACACGGAGGGGGGTGCTGCAGTGGAAATGATATGCTTAAAATCAATGCTAGAACAGATCCAAGAAACCAGTTTCCTCTAACTTACAATTCTGGTAACTTCATTCATATTAAATTTGTGTGCTTTTCCAGCCTGTATGGAACCAGCAAAGTGCATATGGAGGGAAGGAGACGTAACATAAGAATTTTTTTCAAACACAAGAAGACATATTAGTTTTTGCTGGCTTGGGCTGGCTATATGCTAGAACAGCTGTGCCATAAAAGAAAGCAGCTGTCTATGGCAAGACTATCAATCCCTATTGAAAACTATCATTCTGTCCATTTATTTCATTGTACCTGCATGTTCTAGTGCAGTCACTCTAATGCAGGAGTGTCAAACTGCCGGCCCGCGGGCCGGTTTCATCATACTGGAGCCGCGCCCACCCCATTGCCGGCAATGGCGAAAAAGCTCTGATACGTTGCGTGACGTCACAAGTTTGACATGTCTGCTCTAATGCAAAGGAACAGTCATAGGAGGGAAAGAGAAAGCTAGTCTAACATTTCCTATATCACAACTATAGTGCATTCTGGAAACAGTTTCTAAAATTCAGATGGAAAATTGCTGGTTGATATTTTCATCCATAAAGTGTAGTTAGGTAGGGTTGTGATAGGTACAATGGAATGCAATGTAGGAAGAATGGAACTCTTCAATCCCTTCCACAGGAGCATACCAATTCTAAGAACCCTCCCTAAATCCCACAAGGGAGACCTTTGACAGATGGTTTTTCTTCAGAGAGGACTCTCTCTTACTGGACTGCATTAAAGACTTGAGCAACTTGCGCTTGGCGGTGAAAGATACCTTTTCTTCCTGCCTCTCTTGTGGAAAGACCTTGTGTACTCACGTAATAAGCAGACATCTGGAGTGCTTAGTCAGCCCCAGGCAAGCAATAAGGCAAATCACCAAGTCCAGAATGAACAGCAAGAGGTAAGAGAGCCATCTGGAGAAAAAGGGGAAAGAAAGAGAATGCTTGGGTAACTCATAGATCCCTGGAGAAACTTGGCAGGAGGAGGGATGGCAGCATTTAAGCAGGATACTGTTTTTAGGCTTTGGGGACAGCACCTCTGCAGAACCATGGAACAACAACAATATGGCATTTCTACAAATCATCCAAATTTGAGAAGGGCAGCTCCTCCTCTAGAGACTCGACTTGATAGACTGCTGAAACTGAAAGGGAGACATTATCCAAGGGACGTTCAAATGCAAATGGAGACATTTACGGCTAGCAGAATCAAACAGATTTGAGAAGCTAAGACTGCAGTGCAATCACACTTTCCTGGGAATAAGCTATACTTACTTTGAAGCTAGCAGGCAGAGAGTTACTTTGCTTTCAAAATGTCTATGGAGAATCTCAGTCATCCAGGTCCTGGTTGTCCCAAAGATGCTATTTTTCAAAAGGCAACTGGACTTTCTTTGTTTTTCTGAAGAAGCTTCTTGGATGAGAAATGGAATGTCCCAAGGAAAACCAAAGAAAGTCCAGTTGCCTTTTGAGGGGAAAAAAAGCACCTTTGGGTTTCCTTTCAAAATCACAACTGACAAATATTGGGCAGGAGAAACCATATAGCTACTAAACTAATTGTGGAGAACAGGATAAATGAGCTAAGCAAGGAATAAACAGATGGGCAAAGAAGATATGGGGGCTTATGCATTTATCTTATAAGGATTTATTTCTCAAAAAGAACACTTTCAAATGTTCTCATGGTATTCCAAGAGCTGGCCTAATGCAGTTTGCCTGCAGCCCCACCTAGAATGGGACAAATGATGATTATTATTATTTTGCCTCCTACATAAGAGAGGCTCTACCCAAACAACCTGAGGGTCTAGTTCAGGATGTTTTTTCATTTGACATCCATTCAGATGTTTCCGTGAAAACATGGCTTTTACAAGACGTGCATAGAACAATTGAACACACTGTTTTAAACTAGTACTCCATTATATTCTAGAGCTGGTGTGTTACAGAAAAAGGTGATTTTGAGAATCCCTGTTTTTAAATATTTGAGTTATAGCTGTGTTGGAAGTACATGATGACATTTCAGGAATGGGTAATTCATGTAAATTAAACCATTTACATTGGCTAAGAAAATGCAATAGATATTTCTGGATATAATCCTATCTGGCTTGCTAATGTTAAAGTGCCTCCTGGTCAGCAGGGACTCTCCCACCTGTGATATAATGCAGTTTGCACAATGCTCTGTGTGTTTTGTGCTTGCACATGCATGCAACTGCCATATAACCCATGTAGTTCATTCCTGGAGCACATGAACCGGAGTTCTCTTTCTGCATGTTTGCCAAAGGAGGGTTTGTTCCGACCATTGCAGGCACTAATTCTGTTACGGATTAATTCACAGCCAGTGGCTTTCTGCTTCATTAATATTACAGACCAAGAGGAAGAGCAAGATCTGTATTTGTTCTTCTATTTTAATTAGTGGCTGAACTAAACTGGAATCCAATTAAAATTCTTCCACGTGTGGCCAAGAGTTAGTCACAGGCAAGCTGCAGCTTTTGGTGCAACTTCACTACCCCAAGAGAATGCAGAAAAAATAGGATGAGGGGGGAAAAAAAAACACCTTTCAGCATTCAGGACGGTTCTGGCTTCATTTTGCCCTCTGAACAATTTAAATAAGCATGTATATCTATTTAAAATAAATTAGTTTAGTATAGAAATTAGAAGTGCAAATGGAATGAATTTGAGAAACAGTCCATGAAATAAATCAAGCGCATATTTGTTTGCTGCAGAACAATGTTTGTTTCCAGAGTGTGATAATACCTTAGACTAGCTTTACTCTGCCCCCACTTATATCCTAAAACTCAACTATGGACATTAATTCAGTCAGAACCTCTGCTTCTATTTATAACAAATATTCAGCAAAACCATAATGTTCAGAATAGAAATATTCTAAAGCAGTGGTTCTCAACCTTTTTAATGCCGTGACCCCAACCGGTCGTAAGTCGAGGACTAAACCGGTCGTAAGTCGAGGACTAAACCGGTCATAGGTCGAGGACTACCCAACCGGTCGTAAGTCGAGGACTTTCCCTGCCCGGGAGCGCCGTGCATGCGTGGTTCCGCCCCCTGCGCCGGCCGAGGCGTAGCTGGCAAGCGGCAGAGACGGAGCAGGCCGACCACCAGCTGGCCCAGCTCAAGGGAGGTAAGGCACCCGCCAGAAAAGGGGAAAAAAATGGCGGACAGCCTTGCTTGGCGACCCCCGTGAAATGGTTGATCGACCCCAAATGGGGTCGCGACCCATAGGTTGAGAACCGCTGTTCTAAAGCTTGTGCCTATACAATTTTTCTTGATGAAGCAGGACCTCTCCTGAGTTGCAATCATAAGCACGATTCAGAATCTTCACCACTAGGATGCAGTGATATTGTGGAAATGTTAGCATTTTAATCACTTTCTCATGTACATAATTTGATTTGTTTTTTAAAGAAACGGTCTCATGCTGGAAAGAAAGAATTAAGCAAAACACAGTCAGTTGCCCAGGGTGATGCTCCTCCTCCTATCTGTCCAATCGTTGCCCTCTTGGATCTTGCTGTAAGTCAGAAAGGTGTAAAAGGAAAGCGAGGGAAAAAGGAAATGAGTGAAAGAATTCCTACCTCTGTAATGATGCAATAAAATCCACAAATTGCTATTTTAAGGAGTCAGACATTGGTACAGACAGGGTATCATCTCTGCTGATTGGCATTAATTCTCTAGGACAGGGATAGGCAACCTTGGCTCTTTTATGACTTGTGGACTTCAACTCCCAGAATTCCTGAGTCAGCATGGCTGGTTCAGGAATTCTGGGTATTGAAGTCCACAAGTCATAAACGAGCCAAGGTTGCCTACCCCTGCTCTAGGATATCAGAGCAGGGACTTTTTTCCCAGGAAAAGCCAGCAATTAAACTATGGAGCTATTGTTCTTTCTAGTGGCTTCAGAGGCCTGAAGGAAAAATCCCTTTGAACTTTCAAGACATTCTAGATTAGCTTAAACGGGAGACCTCTGTCTTTCCCCAGCCACTTAAATATATTGACTCCATTTCTGCATTTCTCAGCCAAGAGTCATCCTGAGTTGGGAACACGAGAAGGTGGAGGACATCTAGCTTGGAGAAGGCTGAAATACACCAACTCTTCAATAGCTCCTTACTGGCATTGTATGTGTCTTGCTACAATGACCATGCTGACTTACCTATAATATTCTACATAGCTGACTTCATTGGCAATCATGGACAAGTCTACAGTGACATCACTCCAGGTAGGGAGCCCTGACAGTTGCAACACAATATTGTCTGCCATCTGCTGCATGAATTTGAGTGTCTGTACATATTCACTGTGGGTTGCAAAGATCTCATTCAAGCGGGCCACATGCTGCTCCAGAACTATTTTCATCTGTGTAGTAGTGCCTGAGACCTGCCAAAAGACAATAAGTAGACCTATGAGAACCAGCAGGCAGATAGCTTCAAATCGCTTGTACAACAGAATGAATGTTCACAATGACCTTGATTTATACATTGATCTGGATAGGCCAAGTCGTTTTATGGAATCACCACTCCAAGGATAAAGACAACGCAAGGGGGATGGTGACTAACTTACTTCAGGTATACATATTATAATATAGAACAGCTTTCCTCAGGCTGGCACCTTCCAAATGCATTAGATATCGATTCCCATAACTCCCCAGTGAAAAGGCTGCTCTCACAATAGTAGATAATGAAATTATCCTTCTCAAAAGCAAGTTAAGTTAAATTAGCACCACAGGGCTGGGATGAACCAAATCTATCCAGTCATCAGGGCCTGTTCACAGGCTCATCTTTCAGCTATCCTCCCATCCAATTTTTTAAAAGGCACATTGGGAAAGGAGACCCAGGAAGAAAGGAGAGGTAAAGCAGCAACAAATGGACATGAAAATTGCTGGTCATTTGCCCACAGCAGCAAATTCAGGTTATCTCCTTTGCTTTCCATGTAAAGGTACAGAATAATTTTCTGCAATCCTGTACTCTCCTAATGTGTAAAGTAGAACTCCTAACATGCCAAGAAGTCATGTACCATATTGTAGACGGCAGCCTGTGTCTATTCCTTAACTGAAAAACACAGTATTTGTGGAACCAGTATTTTTGTATATACATAGTGTGTGTGTGTGTGTGTGTGTGTGTGTGTGTGTGAGAGAGAGAGAGAGAGAGAGAGAGAGAGAGAGAGAGAAGAGAATGGAGGAGATATCTAGACATACTGTATTCCAAGGGCATTTAAACTGTTCCTCACGTTATTAGTAGACCATCAGCATTCAGAAACAGAAACATAAAGCAAAAGAGTTTCTCTGGGAGTGAGAAGGGAGGGATCTAAATCTGATATATAAGTATAGCATCCACCCAGAAAAATACAAATAAAAATAGTTTGTTTAGTATAATTTCACTGAAGTGAGAGTGAGCGTTACATTCTCCAATCTCATCACCTTTTGGTGCTTCTGGCTCCTTAGCTTATAAGCATTGCTATTTAGTTCTCTGCCAAGACATCCAGAGGAACTTGTAGCAAGCATGAATCCCAGACACCACAGGTGATAGGCTACTTTTCCTAGGTATGGTGTCACTTGAAATGGTCTAGCATTGTGTTCTCAGCTGTAGCCAGAAGATACAAAAAGAGATGCTGGCAAAATGCCTGAGCTCTAGCATTGCCTTTGAGAGGCTGCTGAAATTAGTCAATAAATGTACAATTCTATAAGTAAATACCTCTTCCCTTTCAGATTTTCTGAATTGTTAAGTATTTTTTTCCAACTGAGAATATTATTCTGAGAATATTCTCAGAATTCATGTGTTCTACAGAGGTCAACATGAAAAAAAAAATCTCCCTTACATAAAAGTGATTGTGCCACTTTTAGTTATATTAACTGCAACCAAACACTTCCTGCAATTGGCGTTCTCTCTCTGACATTAATGTAAAAAAATTTGCCTCACTCCTCTGTGGCGAATTGCTTAGATGCAGCAGTTATGAGCATGATTTACTCATTTCAGATCCTGCTACTATATTTCTATGGGGCTTAGGTTGGATTTTGACTTGGCCATTCCAAAGCAAATAATTTGTCCTTCATCCATTCTTTTGTAAATTTACTTGTATGTTTGGGTCACTGACTTGTTCAATTGACCGATAGACGGCCTGGTATTCTTCTGTAGAATTCTCTGAAACAACCCAAAATGTGTGCTTTCTTCAATGATGGTAAGTCATCAAAGTCCCTGAAGCTGTAAACCAGCCCCAAACCATGACATTATTACCTCCATGCTTGACAGTGCTTCTCCAATAGTAGAGTCATAAACACTGAATTTAGTCAGGTTGAAAAATGACTGCATATCCCTGAACTTCTTTAAGACATTTTTGTGATTTCATGTGCAATTTTATGCTATGCTCTTTGATTGATTTTGATAGCCACCTATAAAAAAGTTCACTATTGCCTCAAATTTTCCCCATTGCAAAATTATGTTTCTGATTGTGAATCTGGAATCTCAACGCTTGAGAAATGGTTTTGAAATATTTCCTCCACCAATAGGCAACAATTTTGTTGAAATGGAAATCTTAACAGATTTCTTTTACTGGGGCATGACTTACTTCTGAGTGGGGACCTCTGTGATGAGGGAGCCAAAGTTAATTGTATTTATTTAGGGTAGAGCTGAGTCAAACCAACACTGATTATTCAGTGAGATACACGATTGGCCTTAGTTATTCTTTAACTGAATTTACTGTTTCCAGTGAACAGTACTAGAACATCACATGTTGGATAACTTTATGAAATAAACGAAACAAGGACCCTATGTTTGTCTTCTTCTTTCAGACTCTTTTTATATGTCATGGGGATCCACATGAAGCTCTGAAAACATTTGTTGGCAAAGATATGTAAAATTACAGAAAATCCCAAAGGGTTCCTACAGCCATACAGCAAAAGCAGGATGAGACAACTAAAAGGATGTTAAGTCACCATCACTCCATGGCTACATTCCCACTCACTCATATCCTTTTGGCACTCACAATGCTTCTTTGTTCAATAGTGTTCTCCCTTCTATTTCATGCAATCCTTCCTCAGACAATATGGGTTATCTCAGCCCAAATCCTTACCATATGATCTCAACTCCCTTCAACATTAATCAAATAACTTCAGATAATCGCTCTGAAATTAATCAGAGTCAAGGCATTTCTTGATAATACAAAAGTCCATTTAGTCCACTTTACTGACTAACCAAAGTGAACGTTTCCAATCTCAAATTGAGATTTCTGACTTTCCACTTTTGCAGCCAGAAAGCCTTCCGGAAAAAGAGAAACTATCAACCTTGCTTATATCCAACAGAGACAATATATGATGCAACTACGTCTTTCGTATTATGCCATTCTGAAGTACAGATGATAGTAGCTTCAGGGAAAATATGATAGACTCTGAAACTGTTGATATGAATCAATTCTTGATCCAGTACTAACTGTCAGATTCATCTCACAGAGAGGAATGAACTACTTAGGCAAAATTGCAGAAAATCTGTGAAAACCATGCCAAAGAATTTCAGCAGCTATAATGATTCAAGAGCAAGCCTTATTTAAGTAAAGGGCATTCAAATCCACTTAGATATAATTTTTCTCCCTGCTCTTCTTAATGGCTCTCTTTTTTTTTTTGTTCAGGTTGGCTTGTCTGCCTCTGCCCTTTATTTTATAACTGCCCAAACTGTTATCAACTTTGCTATGAAACAATGCATTTCCTTGATCAAGTCTGCCAGCTGACCAGATCAGTCAGAGAACATACTTGAAGGTGGACATTCTGTATCATTCTTTTCCTATGGAGTAGCTTACTCTCTGAGGTGAGATGGCCACAATTCTTATCCAAAAGATCCAAAACTTATTGAGAAATATTAAGATCAAGCTTTCCTAGAGGGCCATTTGAGACTGATTCTAGACCAATCAGTGTAAAATTTCCAACTGTTCTTAACAGGAAAGCTAACAATATGAAGTAGAGAAGAGACTTCAACAATGGTAGACCTCTTTGGTATCAGCTATTCCACTGGATGACCATTCCAATGGAATCTTATTCTCAGATAGCTGCTTCAATTTCCAGCATTCCACAAAACCCATCTAAGGCTGTTTCCCTCAGAAAAGATGCCTTACCAGTGAATCAACCCCTGAGAGGGTGTGATTAGCATTATCAAGGGCGTAGATCAGCTGATAAATCCCATCGTTGGTTTCACTGTTGCCATAAAACCCAATGCCAACAGCCGCACTAGAAAAAGAAAGGAAATATAGAAATGTGAGTAAAAAGAAAAAATAACAAATCAGGGTCATTTGATTGCAGCAGCATCACCAAAGTTAGACTGAAAATCATTAGGGTGTTCCATCCGTTGAAAGGAGAATTTTTTTTAAAATCCTTAAAATCTTTCCTATACAGTAATGGGATAGTCTCTCTCTCTCTCTCTCTCTCTCTCTCCCCTCCCTCCCTCCCTCCCTCCCTCCCTGTGTGTGTGTGTGTGTGTGTGTGTGTGTGTGTGTGTGAGAGAGAGAGAGAGAGAGAGAGAGAGAGAGAGAGAGAGAGAGATTTCAATGGTGATCCAAGATTATGGATAGAAAGGAAAAAGTACTGCTTTTCAGAAAGATGCAATATTCCTCACCCTCACTCTGAAACAGACAGCTTGAATTTCTTTCTTTAGAATGTTCATTCTCCCCTTCCCTGATGAATAACAGCAGAATTTTGCTTTGGTTTTTAAACAGCGATGGGAATAAAGGACTGATAAATCTGTGAAACCCCATAAAGGCCTCCCATATACCAAGCTGATGAAGTATTTTCACAGATTCAGATTCATGACGTGTTTACTTAATGAAATGTACTATTTCATTCTATTTTTTAAAAAACAGCATATCATTTCTGACTATACGCTGAGGTTTTTTTTATAAATAGTTGGGAATGGGAATTGATTAACTCTTTTTATTTAGCCTAAGGAATGGCCTATCCTGCAGCTCAAGTATTTGACTCTTCAGGAAATTCAATGGGAACTTCTATTTTTCTCTATCCAAGCATAATCCCAGATTGTGTGTTAAGACTGAGGGTTAATACTAATTAAATCACACAAATGATGATAGCACATTTACCTCTGAGGGTGGATTAATTCTAGATTAATCCAAGGAAAGCAGAAGAGAATTTCACAGTGCACGCCACATTTCATTCTGTAGACCCACAATGAGAATTGCCTGTATCCCAGAAGTAGAAAGCTTTGGGTTCTAAATGAGAACTAACGGCTTAAGATTAATTTACTACATAAAGGACCTCCATATAAATTTTATAAATCAATCAGTTCAATATTAGGGATCCCTCTCTGAGCCCTGATGCCATCATAAAAGTTCCCTGAGAATTCTAGAAGCTGCTAAAAGAAGGAAAGATGGAGAAACTATCCCATTCAGTCAATGCAATAATGAAAGTGACCTCAAGAAATTCCTTCTTTTTGCCATGATATCCTCACTTGATACAACTTTTTTTAATTACAATTCCCCTGCCCCCCCATAGATATTCCAATTAGGGAAACTGTTACAACAGCAATGAAAAACGTGACTTATAATCACTTTATGATGTGTGCAAACCAGCATTTGCATTTCCTGCATCGGATGAGGAGAGCACATCTTTCTCCTTCTGTCCTGGCCACTTTTTACAGAGGCACGATTGAGAGTGTTTTAACAAACTGCATCACTGTTTGGTTTGGTGGCAGCAATGCCTCAGATAGAAGGTCCATACAGAGAGTGGTAAGGACAGCTGAGAATATTATAGGAAGCTCACTTCCCGTTATTTAGGACACTGCTTATAAGTGCTATGTGCTTAGAGACCCCCCCACACCCACTTCACGGTCTTTCTGTTGCTCCCCTCTGGGAGGAGGTTTCGAAGTATTTCTAGCAGAACCACTAGATTCTGTAACAGCTTTGTTCCTTACATCATCTGTCCTGTAAATTCGCAGGATTCTTTTTTTCTGCCATATATATGTATACAGACGAACTAGACTGTTGTTTCTCTGTGTCATATATGTATGTATGTATGTATGTATGTATGTATGTATGTATGTATGTATTCAAAACAAGCAAATAAACATGAACACCAGGGAAAATCTTAAACTATAAAAGTTTAATACAATCACCAAGCTGTATGTATGTATGTATGTATGTATGTATGTATGTATGTATGTATGTATGTGTGGATATATGCATAATTTTTGTCATGTTTATGTAGTGTATATTGGAGGTGGTTATCCTTTGAGAGCTGAATGCAATAAAATTTCATTTTAATATATGCTGATTAGTGTACATTTAAAGTGACAATAAAGTTATTCTATTCTATTCTATTCTATTCTATTCTATTCTATTCTATTCTATTCTATTCTATTCTATTCTATTTTTCACACTTATAATAGGTACAGCATCCTCTTGGCCAAGTGATCAAAATTCAGAGGTGTGGCAACTGACTTATATTTATGATGGTTGCACTGTTCTGGGGTCATGTTATCAACTTCTGCAACCTTCTGACAAGTCAGTGGAGAAGCCAGAATCAGTTAACAACCTTGTTACTAACTTAACAACTGCAGCGATTCACTTAACAACAATGCCTAGAAATGTCATAAAATGGGGCAAAACTCACTTAACAACTATCTCGCTTAGCAACAGAAATTTTGGGCTCAGTTGTGGTCGTAAGTTGAGAACTACCTGTATTTTATTGTATCCTTGTTTTTGAATGGTTTTAACCATTTATAAACCACCCAGAGTTGCTGGGAGTTGGGTGGTATATAAAGTTAATAAATATTTATTATCCACCAAACATATTTTTCATACTTCCCATTATTGCAACCTCACACATCCATGTGGCACTCCAAAACATTCTTTTCACTCCATTCCAAGCAACTTTCACATGTTGTTTCCCTTCATCCATTTTTCATTTATTCTGGGAGGAGAGTACAAAAGATATTAATTCTAAACAGTTTATTGTCTAAAATGCTCCACAAGGAACATGACAAGGACGGGATGAGAAATGGAAGACATAATGGGCCAACATGAGAAATGGTCTACTTTAGAGAGCACATGGGTGGGCAGTTGAACCACCTATAATTCATACAGTTTTTTTCTCCCAAAGACTTTATGATGACCTGATGATCAAAATGGTCACTTGGCTATCTAGAAAAGGACTGCTGATTTTCTGTTGACATTAATGGCATGACACCAAGCAATCTAATTTCTGCCAACTAACTGTTAATGTAATAGTAATAAGAAATCAGTGAACTGTAACAGCTGGAAGAAAGCTTCATTACTTTCTCTTTCTTCTGAGTAATCTGAGATAGCAGTGCAAGGGAGGGAGAGAGCCAAAGTGTCTGAGGGGAAGCTGTGAAAGGGTTTTAATCCAAACTGTTTCAAATTAAATATAAATCAAATCAAATATAAAACATTCTGCTTTGAATAGAACAGGCTGGTTTAAACATTTCAAATATGCTCCAAGTTTGAATTAGATCCGTTATAGTAACAGTATAACAGAGTCAGAAGGGATCTTGGAGGTCTTCTAGTCCAACCCCCTGCTGAGGCAGGAGACCCTATACCATTCCGAAAAATGGATGTCCAATCTCTTCTTAAAAACCTCCAGAGATGGAGCACAACTTCTGAAGACAAGCCATCCCACTGAATAATTGTTCTCACTGTCAGGAAATTTTTCTTTAGTTCTAGATTGGATCTGTCTTTGGCAACCATTGCTTTTTGTTATGCCCTCAGGTGCTTTGGAAAATAGGTCTCTGTGGCAGCTCCCCAAACATTGGACATAGCACATAAGCGTTGCTTGAGTAGAGTCCGTAAGATTGTCTGGGACACTACACATCCTCTTCACGACCTGTTTTCCTTGTTACCTTCTGGGAGGAGGCGGCTCCGTGGTATCCAAAGCAGAACATCCAGATTCAGTCACAGTTTTGTTCCATACAGTATTAACGCTCAAAGTTTCTCTTTCCGTTATGTATTCAAGTTGGACAGTGATTAATATTTATATGTAGTTACTTATATGTGAGGGTATAGGTCTATATACATATGTTGTATATTGTATGCTTTAAATGTGTGTTATGTATGTGTACACTTTGAGAGCAAACAACTAAATTTCATTTTTAATGTGTGCCATTGTGCCCACAGTAAAAATGACAATATCTATCTATCTATCTATCTATCTATCTATCTATCTATCTATCTATCTATCTATATCTATCTATCTATCTATCTATCTATCTATCTATCTATCTATCTATCTATCCATCCATCCATCCATCCATCCATCCATCCATCCATCCATCCATCCATCCAAGACTGCTATCAAGTCACCCCTAGGCCTTCTGTTCGCTAGACTAGATATACCCAGTTCCTGCAACTGTTCATCATTTTATCCTCCAGTATCCTAATCACCTTTGTTGCTCTTCTCTGCACTCTTTCTAGAGTCTCAACAACTTTTTTGTATTGTGGTGACCAAAACTGGACTCAGTATTCCAAATGTGGTCTTACTATGCAATATAAAGTGAAACTATCCTTCTGTGGATGCAGCCTAAGACTGCATTGGTTTTTTTTGGCAGTTGTACCACACTGCTGGCTCATACTTAAGTGGTTTTCCACTAGGATTCCTATATTTTGTTTTCCTTTTTGGAAGATTGAAATCACATCAGCTCTTTTCCAGTCCTCTGTTAATTCCCCAGTATTCCAGGATTTGCTAGTACTCCACATCTGCCAGCTCCTTCAGAATTATGGGATGTAATCCATCTGGTCCTGATGATTTGAATGCATGCATCTAGAGTGAATAGATGTTGTCTTATTCACTCTACGACAGCGACTCCCAACCTTTTCTATACCCTGCACCAGTGGTGGGATTCAAATATGTGAACAACCGGTTCTCTGTGTGGATGCCGCTTCCGGAAGTCCATTCTGGGCCTGGGAAACAAAAAATTAGCTACCGGTTCTGCCGAAGTAGTGCGAACCGGCTGAATCCCACCACTGCCCCAGACCCCTAGAGCCCTTCTGATATATTCTCGTACTCCTTACAAAAGTTCTAAATAACGGCAATGAATTATGCATATACACTATAATTTTGAAAACCCAAGTTTTCGCACCCCCTGGAGTATCGTCTCGCACCCTGGTTAGGAACCCCTGCTCTAGGAGAACCACTGTTTTTGAGCAAAAACCCCAACCAACCCATTTCCAAAATGCTCAATACAACCATCTCACCTTCAAGCACTC